ATAATCTTTTTGTTTTAAAGGCCACTATAACTGCTTAGTCTCTCAGCATCGGGGATACTGTCGATGATGTATTTCGGCGATTTCCTCTTCTTCGATTGGAACACGATTCCCAAGGATTATTTTTTTCATGCACGTACTACAGAATGTCTCTCCCTTCTTCACGCTCTTCGAACTCACGACGTAGCATCATTTTGCTGAGCCGATGATGGAATACTTCTTAATTCATGCAGTAAGGATTCTAGCGATATTTCGACGAACTCTTAGAATGTAGCCAACTTAATGCTTTTCCCTTCAGTCACATGCCGACTAATATTTTCGCACGCTCGTCATTTAGTCGATACGATCGTTTCAGTAATCTTAGCTGTCTTTACTACATCTCGAAATTGTCTGTCGTGTCGTCAAAAATAGTGAGCAGCTCAGCTATAGCCGTGAGATTGGCTTTTGGCTGCATAACACTGGGTTTTTCGTCGCATATTTGTACAGTTGATTGTAAATTGGCTCTTAACGATTCAAGTTCTCGTCTAAGAAGATCCAGTTCGGCTTCCATTCTGCGTTTGTCACAAAGATGTATCCCAAGTTCTCTTGTACTATCTCCTACTTCTGTCATAGAAACAACTTCAGTATTTCTGGTTTCTTCTTCTGATAATTTTTCGGATTATACGCCTGAAGGATCTGCCTCGTTCAAACGAATTATTAATTCGTTCTTGTTTCCCGTATACGATAGTCCTAGTGCTCTCAGACGCTCTTTCAGTTCTACTAGTGTTAGTACTACACCCGCGTATTTCACATATTTATATTCTTAGTAAACTCGTGAACTCGTTACTCACGATATTCTCACAATAATCTCATGATAATCTCTCAAGAATATGTGGATTTGTAAATAATATGTATTGGATAACAGTGGACGAGAACACGATACAATATATCTTGCATGAGATTTATTCAGCTTGCATTCAGCGACCAAAATCAGATTGCTGCGCTTCATTAGGACTCATTCTTTTATAGGGGTAGTAGTACACACACACACACACACACACACACACACACACACACACACACACACACACACACACACACACACACACACACACAACTATACAATTTTTCGAAAATATGTTCTGTTTCACCGCTTTCATCAATCGCTTCCGACTTACTTAGATCTCTTCCGCTTAATCCTCAGTCACTCTCTAAAATATGTTCTTTGTTTCGCCACTTTCAATTCTCGATACTGCTTATATCAATCGCTTCCGACTTACTTAGATCTTTTCCGCTCGATCCTACACATATATACAGGGTGTCCCAAAATTCCTGCATTTGGAGTACACTACGTGATTCTTTATGTTAAAAAAAAACAACTTTTTCCTTTAGCAAAATTGCATTTGACGAGTAATTTTTACAGTGGCTCAGATTAGTCAGACAGTGTGACGAATGAGCGCACGTATGTACGTAGCAGTCAGGGCCAGCGGAACGTTCTTTAGGCCGATACCTAATCTTTGACGACTTCACGTACTATATTGTTTAAAATATGATAAAAGTTAACAAAATAAATATTGTTTTCGTCCTTTACGTAACGAATAAAAAAATTGTCTGATTTCGTAGCATTATCTGGAAATAAAAATAAATATAAATAATATGGTGTATGAACTGAGCGTTCTATTATTTTGATTACTGCGCAAAGAATCATGTAGTACTCCAAATGCGAGAATTTTGGGACACTCTATGTGTGTATATGATCTAACTCAAATGGTACTAGTTTTAATTAAAAACAAAAAAATTTGTTTCCATATTGCCAACTCAATTCAAATAATATCATTAGTATAAAAGATTTGATATCAATGGCGCCAAGTTATAATCTAATTTTCCTATTCTCACTCAAATGATACTAGCCTTAATTCTTCAAAAAAGAAAATTTCGTTTCCACATTGTCAACTCAAATGATTGTGTAAAATTTGTATAAAAGATATCAATAATTGGCCAAATTATCTACCAATAGCCAATAGTCCTACAAACATGGAGCTACAAGTCTATTTTAGTCAAATTATATATTTCAATCGTACAAAAGATTTGATAAATCACTGTTTTAAAAAAATAAAACTCAAGTAGTAGTATCTTTAATTTAAAAATAATAAAAACCAAATTATATGTATATCTTTCTATCCATTTAAGACTTCTTTTTCTAACCCAAGTGGTAGTAATTATTTAGCTTTAAAATATTATTATATCACAAAATTGCTTTATTCAACCTACGTTTTTATCACAAAGAATTAAAAAGTAACAGTATAAAATAAATGATAACATTTTATTTAAATAAAAAAAATTTTTATGTAAAAACACAAAAATAATATGAAGAATAATTATTCTTGACATATCCCTTTTTATAAAATTTTACAATTATGATCGCTAACAATTCTTCACTATGTGACGGATCTGAACGCGCGAATAATGGACAGCTTGATTGGACATTTTTAAACATTTCCTATTTGAAAATTATTGTATGTTTAACATTTTAGTATTAGAATTTTCGTCTCTAAATGACTTCAGGAATCTGTCATTAGCAGGTGGTGCGTTAGGTCTGGGACATCCTGTA